TATAGAGAATTTTAAAAAAAAAAAAAAAAAAAAGAAAAGAAAAAAAAACTAAAAAAAAAAAAAAAGCCTGTCTCATTCACACTCCCTGGCATGTACCATAGGACAACAAATGATTAACCTAAGCTCAATTTCACTGTTTAGAAAACTAGCCAGAGCATTGCTTTTCAAATTGTCAAATACCATGTTCAAATAACATTACAAAATTACATTACAGCCTTCTGTTACCCTGAAGCTCTTAAGCTTACCTTCCCACACACACCTTGATTTTTATCCCTGTAATATATATCTAAGGAACTGTCATACAACCTCTCAACCTTTTTTTGGCTAAACTAAGCAATCCAAGAAGAACAATTACCACTTCATATATAAATACCACGACGTTGTGGTGCCAAAGGAATCATATATATCATTGAAAGCAAGAAAATGGCAAATTGCCTTTGTGTTGCCTTCTCCTCATATCTTTGGAGCAATATTATTTTGTTAAACATGTCAAATAGAAGCCATATGAAATTAAAATGGTTTTTTGAATACACAATAATAGAAATACATTTAACAAATTACTTGCTTAAAAAAACCCACACATTTTGCTTCTGTAAATATGCTGTATGATGTGTTACCTTTGCAAAACATTTCAATCTAATTGTGTTTCCTTTACGCACACATAAGTTGAATTCTCCTGCTTCTGGAGAGTTGAACCCTGGACGCCAAACAACTTCACATTCCAGATCTCTATAGGCTTCCACAAAGCCTAAATAAACGTGCATAATTTACATGTTATAGCATAGACATGTACAATTGTCACATTGTTATTATTAGAAATAACATCAGCATATTAAAGTGAAATGACCTTCTATTACTGAAGACTAAGCCCACATTGCTGCATGAAGCAAAATTAGTTGCTGAATTCTCATATGCATAATCTGTTTAGTAGTATCCCCCAGTAAAACACTGCAAGTTTTTTTGGCCATAAATTACTTAAATAATCAACATTTTAAAAAACAAAAGAACAAAAACTGTTCTTCTTGTAGAATAACTTTGGGAAAGACTATGTACATTTTCTTGCTTGCATTTGAGTCTGTACCCATATCAGCAGAAATCTCTTTTCTCAAGAATCAGAGCATACCAAGCTCCTGATCCAGCCAAGTCTTGTTTGAACTGTGTAATGCCAATTCAGTTAGCAGTTACTTCTTTAATAATGAAGCTCCAAGATACTTATGCAGAACACTTGTCTTTCAAAGGAAAGAATGTAAAAGCTAATGTTTCACATGCTTCTAATAAATATTGATCCATAATGCAAACGGAAATTATTCCCAGATTGAATTCCATTTGTGTCATTCAGGCCGTCTATATCAACTTCTTAGCAGCTTCATTCATACAATGTTTTTGGAAAATTTCCTACCCTAATGAGCTGTATGATATTGCTAACTGCTATTAAATAGCTTCCTCACTTTTGAAATATCAGCAATCTGTGCTGAAAAAAATGGTTACATAAGCGCTGTTGGCTAGACATAGAAACAACAAACTGGACCCAGTATGCTCTCGGGATAAGGCTCACACAGGGAGCACTGCTACAGTATTAACACTCTGATCTGATAATACTTTTGGGAAACACTGATACTGACTCAACTCCAAAAAATATGGTTTATGGCATCAACTGAATGTTTCTCTTATTTGACATTATTGAACTTTAAGATACATGCACACAAACTGTATCGCATTGTATACCTTTGGCTGGCTGTATAGAGAATGCAGTTCTTCTGTCTGTAATAATAGGTTTCCAAGTAAACTCAGCAGGATAGTTTCTGGGATTGCATACCCTGACAGTTGTTCTAAATTCTGTCTCTGCTACGTAGCCAGGAACAGGATTTAAAATCAGTTCCCTTGTAGACAGCTCAAGTTCAACAGGCACTGTTTTTGCAACCACCAGCACGTGCCCAAGGTGTTGGCTGTTTATTGTGTAAGTGAAAGATCTGTAACATAAAAATATACATGTGTTTATTATGTTGCACTCAGAGTTATATTTATGTGAAATATAATCACAAGCAAGAAAATACCTAACAAAACAATTGAGTGTGAACATACAGTTAAGACCGACAAGAAAAAGCAATTTGTAATTGTTTTGCATACAATTTAAATCACATCAAAAGTGAAGATCATCCCAAAGAATAAATCAATCTCATACGGTCATTTTTACAGCAAAAGTGAGAGTTCCATCTCCGCACCAGAAGGCCAGGAAACATTTTGCCTCTACGTTTACTCATGGGGTGCATCAAAAGATCTGAGGATAGATGCAGTGATGCAACACCCTGTCAGAAAGAGTACAATATTTTCCAAAATTTCTCCTAACAAATACCTGTAATAGCAAACTATTTTCCCTGATATACCTGTAGCTATATGGACTTTTGACAGCACAGTTTGTCGGATTTTTTTAAACCCTAAGAAACATTACTATATTAGCAAAATTTTGCAACATAAAACTAAATAATTATTGCAATATTACCACAGATGAGTGTATGCAATTAACACTTATCATAACTACACTGAGTTCAAACCAGTCACATGATTTTTTTATTCTATTACTACAAAGAAAATATGTAAATCAAGACATCTGTAAGAAGCCTTACTTCTTAAACATTCCAAGAGTATGTGTCTCGAATACAATTGGAATATGAGTCTTTGTAAGAGGAGGCACCACCAGAGACAATGGACTTGTCTGCTGCAATTCATCAGATTCAATCTCCATTTGGATCCATATATGAACTGATAGGTTATTGATGATGTGCAGTTTTCTGGCTGTTGTAGAATACACACAAACATCACCAAAATCCATAGTAGAAGGACCTGGAATATAGAAGAAATAAAATCTTCAACATTAAAAAGTTATTATAAGGAATATAACTACTAAAACATAACCAAAACATTTTAGTTCCTCAAATTATAGAATTAGTCAGCTAGAACAATCCTCTAGCAGAACAAATTCACACTTTTATTTGGAAGTAAATGCCATGTATGTTCTGTGCACATTTTCAGCAGCAGAACTCAAAAGCCAGCACCAACATTTAATTCTTAACTCTGTCTATGTTAACCAGCTATTAAAATAGAAAAAGCAATGTGCTAATTACTAAAGGCATCATAAATAACCATAAATGCTTCTTTTTATTAATCAGATATTTAAATGGCTAGACAAGCAGCAATTCACTGAGAGTTTATATTCTTAAGCTGTTTGTTTGCTCCCTGATGTGTGACCATTTGGTTTAATAACTCATGTAATTTGATGGTGGCAGAATTATGTTACTACTTTATTTACTGCCATTTTTTTATGCTGGTCTGCATACTTTAGTGATCATGGCACAAATCAAACATCTTTCAAAACTCACAGTACTTTTTCTATGAATATGTTTATCTTATACTACCTTTCTCCAAGTGAATCAATATACACAGCTACACTATTCAAGTTGTGGCTTCAGTGAAAATAAAAAAAAAACAAAACTGGAAAGTTCTGAAAATTTACTTTGTTGCTAAATAATTTCACAGAGGAAAACTTGACCTTAAAATTGACTAGTTTTAGTACCAAGCGTTGTTAACAGACAAGTCCCTCACAGACTTTAGAAGGTGTTACTCTCCATCACAGAACATTCCACTGAAATTATTTTGAAGGAGGATCCTGAAAGTTTTACTTTTTGGAGGTCTTACTGTTAATTCCCAGAAAAATTCTCAATACTCCCATGTCTGGAGAATAAGTCTTATGAGGAAAGGCTGAGGGAGCTGGGGTTGATCAGTCTAGAGACGAGGAGGCTGAGGGGAGACCTTATTGCTCTCTACAACTACCTGAAAGGAGGGTGTAGAGAGGTGGGGGTCGGTCTCTTCTCCCAAGCTACAGGCAATAGGACAAGAGGAAATGGCTTCAAGTTGCACCAGGGGAGGTTCAGGTTGGGTATTTGGAAAAAATTCATCACTGAAAGGGCTATCAGGCATTGGAATGGGCTGCCCAGGGAAGTGGTTGAGGCACCATCCCTGGAGATATTCAAAAGACAAATTGACATGGCGCTTGGGAATATGGTTTAGTGTTGGTGTGTGTGTTTTGTTTGGTGATTTGTTTTTTGTTGTTTTGTTTTGTTTTGTTTTTTTATGGTTGGACTAGATAATCTTAAAGGTCCCTTCTAACCTAGGTGATTCTGTGATTCTCACTGATATTAGTGCTGCTCCAGATACTATCCAATAACAAGACATAAGGGTGTGAGCAACCCTCATATTATGCTGTTTTGATTTCTCTATCACATGCTGTAGCATGAGCAGTCTTTAAAGGAAGCTCTCCTTTTACATGTCGATAACAAATCATATCTCAGTATTTTCTGAGGAGTACAAACCTTTAAAGACTACTGTAGATATCAAGCTGACACCAAATTAAGTTATTTTCCATTTATGGTGAACAATTATGAACATAAAATATTACTATAAATAAGTGCTTTTGTAACAACTATATACATCTACTAACCAAGTTAAGAATCTTACCAATGACTATCTGATGAAGCTGCTTGGATGTTAAAGTTAGATTACAATCTTCCTTCTCTTGGGTAGAAGATGGTACAGCACTCAGCCCACTCCAAATCTGTGATAAGCACAAGACATCTTCTCAGAGCAGAATCAAAATTCTTATGCTTTTTTACATGGTAAACACATTATGCTTACACTACTACTCAAGAATTTGACTTACTTCTTTGAGTGAAGATTCAGAACCAATTTCTGTCAATTTTCGACTAGTTAATAGGCAATTCTCATCTAGAGGAAGCATTTTGAACTGTAGTTTCTCCTTGTGAAAATCTGTGACTGAGATCTTTGGTGACATAAGACCTTCAGCTGGTTTAAGGCCTATGTTCAGAGAATTATTATAAATATAGAATTGCCTATAAGGAACAGGAAAAAAAATATGAAAATCTAGAAGGTTGAGCCTTCCATGTTCTACAGATTAAACTATTTAAGATTTTTAAGCATAACAAATAATAATTCAAGTAAAAATATTTCATTATGAAAAAACGCTCAAGCACAGAAAATGCCTTGAAAAGTCTCCTATTGTATTGTTTAGGCAAGGATTAACATCTATTGCACGTTTGCGTCAATTGCTCAGCTAAACAGGTTCCAAGCATTATGGCTACCAAAATATAATTATATCGTTTCTAAAATACCTCTTAAGGAACAATTAAGTTGTAAAGTTGAGCACTTAAAAGTTAGTAAAGGCTGCGATTACAAAGGATCCTTTAATTGTATGTCTGAACAGGACCACTTACAGCCTAATTTTCAGATCAATTAACTTTTCTTCATCAAAGTTCAGTGCCAATCAATCAATTTCACCTGCAACCAAGCAATTTGGATGATCTTACACTAATGTTTTGTATCAAGTATTCAGAAAATTATCACTATGTTTGATAGTAATAAGTAAAATTCATCAATAATTGTGACGTTTTCCTTTCTGTTGTTGCTCCTCATGCAATATACCTCGAATTTATGTGTTAAATAAACAAGAGTTCATCCACTACACAACATCAGTTCCTTTGAAGAAAACCATACATCATGCGCATACATAAAAATAAAATAAATCCAGCTCTGCAGGCCTTGCTCTGTGTATATACATCATGATTCAGACAAGATAAATTGAGATTACAAGAATAATCCACTAGCATTATTAATTTTTAAATAATGGGTCTTGCAAACAACACTCTGAAGGTATTACTTCTCTTGCTTTAGAGGCTTTACAGGCTTTTTTTTTTTTTTAATAAAAGTTTTACAAGCAGCATAGCTGTCAGTTCTGCTTTTCCATGATTTTGCTCCACAGCATACCAACCAAATGCACAAATTCATGAAGTGAGAATTTACCATAAGGCTAGAAGACCAATACAATCCTTTAATCTTATCTACTGTATTCCAGAAATTATATCATAATTTACATACTGAATCCATCACTTTGGGTGATCTAGCCACCCTAGTTGGAAATACATATGATTTATTATATAAGAAGAAAAGAGAATCCAGCAAAATCATTGCTCTTTAAACTCGGCATCTTATTTTAAGATCATTTTAAGTTTCAAGTTCCATGCCTCATTTTACCCAGGAAATGATCTTTAAGTTTCTAAAAGAACATTGGAACAAAACAGGTTTTGAATGCCTTATAAATGAAGGTCCCAAGACCATTTCAACACAGGACAAACTTAGGTATATTATTGGTGCCACTAAGTTAATTCTGCACATATAGACACATATTTTTCCTATAAGCCAAAAGTATTTTTTTATCCTTGCAATAAAGTCTTACCTAGCAGCATTTTTCTGTAAACGACGCTGTCTTAAGTTAGAAATGAAGTCTGTGTAGTATTCCTTATGTGCTTCTTTTGACAGTCGTTCACATTCAGTATAAGAAAACTCTGGATCTATATAATTATATCTCTCAGTCTTTGTGAAAATAGTCCTAAATATATAAAGAGAATTGTAGTCTCACTACATGTGTAAAATGATTTGAGGTCTTGTTAGACTGAAAACATTGATTTTGCTACATGTATATTTCATTGCAAACATTCTTTTTGTCATGGCAGATTATTAATATTTGACCTTGTAAAGGCAACCATAAAAATGAAATACTGAAACTGTAATAGCTACATTTGTAGTTTCATATAAGAAAAGCAACTCCAGAAATTTGTGTGCAAGAGGCTCAAGGTTAAGTAGAATGCAATGAATTTTAAAGACCTTTCAGCCTGAAAAAACCAGTAAACTCTCATGAGTAACCAAACTTGACCTACTAATACAGTATATACAAATGGGTGGTTTTAAATATTGTATTCACATAATTTTTACCTGTACTTCTTATTCCATTCACCAGGCCTAATGCTGGCTGCGCGATCATTAGGAAAAGCGATAAGTGCATCACCATCACAATTCCTGTTAATCCGGTGAGTATGGATTTGTGTTTGGGTTGATTTAAGTATTGCCACAGGTGCTGGATCAGTGCACTGTCCTGCATCATCAGCTACAAAATGTCCAGTTGCATTGGAAATCTTTGGTGTTATACCTTAGAATCCAAATAAAACATGTTACATACACTTCTACTTTCTAAACAAAATCAAAATATTAGAAAAATATTTCTTTATACTGGTCCACCCAGCTGCCCAACAATCTGTCGTCCATCCCATTATGTTTTCCTCAGAAAAGAAGGCATTCAGACCATACTAACAGCCAGCCACCTTCCCTGGCCTAGGTCACAGACAAACAAATAGTGGAATCCAAACCACTACGACTATGTCCAGCTGTGATGCTTTGTCTTGCACGTGCACATGACTGAACATTCAGAGTTGCCTCTGTCACAACACTGTTTGCAGTGTCCTAAAGTTTGTCTTCAGGGCGGTCTTAAGGATTAGAGACTAATCATTGCATATCCTGAAAGATTCTTTATGCTGGCAGAGGCTTCAGAGGATGAAAACTATCGATGGATGTGAGAAAAGTAACAGGCTGTATTAACTGGTAAATTCATCTGGCAGAAGAAACTTTAAATCAATGAATACCTTGTTATATTTCCTACCTTCTGCACTTTACCCATCTCTCTACTGAAAACTGAAACATACTAGCACTGTGTAATGGCAATGCTGCAAAACCTGAAGCTCTTATCTTATGATTTATAGAATTTAAATAGTCATATGATGAAAAAGTATGCTTTAATAGTTCAATTTTTGTTAAAATATGAGAGGAGAGGGAGTTTACCATTAGTTTAGCTATTGCTTTATACTATCATGGGTATATGTCATCCAATTGAGCATTCCCTCAACTCCCAAAGAGATATTATTTTCTTGAAATGAACTAAAAATAGTCAAAAATTCTCTTTTAAAATGTTTAAAATGTACTTTTAAAACATTTTATCACTTGTCACTTATCATTTTAGCATCTTACCAGGATTAATTTTGAATAGAACGTTTTTTCGTTTAGATTTGCACACACCAATAAAGCTCAAATATATTTGGTGAAAGGATTTTTTCTTCAAAACCTGTAAATTATTTCTCTCTACTGCTGTACCAATGATATCAACAACTTGCTTCACTTTAAGTTTTCCTATTTGATGTGGAGAAAATGAAAATATAACGTCCTGGAAAAGAAAAGTTGTTATGAAACACATGAGGCAGAAAAACAAAGAAAAGTTTTAGGTAATTGTCTGTTTAATTGAGTAATTCCTCTCCACACTTCTAAGATAGGTGTTCAAAACTGGGCTTTTAGAATATGTCAACTGCCCTACATAAATTAGCAATACAATGAAATATAAAACTGCTACACACTAGAACACCAAAAAGCCTCACTTGCTCATTTCTGGGACAAATTGTTCTCTAAGTGCCCTAAGTTATAGGCTTGTGAAACTATAAGTGTCTCCATATTTGACTTAAATTTGGCAAAGCTTCTGCCACTAAAAGATATATTACTTGAGTGTTTGTGATTTACTAAAAGAAATTAAAAGGATCCTGCAAAGGTTTGAGTATTAATCAATCTTCTCAAGTCAGTAAAATACAAAATATTTAAAGCCAGAAAAAACCTCGGTGAAGTTTCCTTAGTTCTGCAATTATTTTTTTCAAATTTAAAATAACACTTGTTGCTTCCCAAAGTACAGGAAACAACATTAAATGACTCTACATAAGGAGAAAAAAATATATATATATATTTGGCTGATAATAAACATCATGGCTACTGAAATGAAATTATTATGGTTTACTTTCATGAAATTCTACTACTCTAAAGTAATCTGCACATCTACATAATCTAAGAGAAAGAGGTAATTACCTTTGCAGATTTCTTTTTAATCATTCCTTTTTCAGGAGAAATATTGAAGTTAGCAGTCCTGCGGAAGCTGAATGTTACTGGAAGGGACTCGGATTCATTTTTAAGTGTGCATAGAACTTGTGTTTTTTCACCAAGAAAACAGTCCATAAACTTAATAACTGGTCCTGGATTAAAAGTTATCATGACAGGAAGTCCAGAACCTGTCAAAGCTAACTCCGTGTGATGACAATGATTCACTGCATTAGACAAACACAAGAAAACAAACAAAAAGCCTCACATCTCTAGTAGCTTATAAACAGAAAAGTCATGCTGCAGTTGCAGGGTTGTAAACACAAAATAATACCATGATGCAGTATGATTTATAATGCAATTTTCTATAAACACAGACATACTCACTTATATTGGCTCTTAGATAACATATTCCCTCCTTAAGGAATTTGAGGGTGACCAAAATACACAAAGCTGCTATTACCATAGTGCTGGTGACTTTCAAATAGCTGGAGGCTTTTTTATGTGCTCCAAATATTTACATTTATAATTAAGTTCTAGGTGTTCATTACAAGTAGGTATATTCATGACATGTATGATTCTCTCGTTCCTTCTTTCTAGTCACTGATTTTGGTCCTCAATCATTAAAGAAGATGTAAGTTACAGTAATTTATTTGTATTGATATAAATAAAATAAACACAGGTTTCCCATAAAACTGCTAAGAAGGTAAAGAAATTAAAAGTAAATATGAACAAAAACAAAACAAGATAAACAGTTTTATCATCCACATACACATTTCTGACTTATATTTCTGATCACATACGTGCAATTGCTGTGGCACCACCACTGAGGGCCTGCAGATAGCCATCTTTATTCCCAACTGGTTCAAATCTCAAAAACAGTACAAAATCTTCTTTCTGTGATGACTCATTCACTCCAAAGTCCCTTTTAAGCTTTCTGTAAGAGTCACAATCTCTAATTACAAGATGGGGACAAAAAAACCCAACCAAGTCCCAACCCACAAAAAAAAAAAAAAAAAATCAAGGCTTATTTTCCATCATCCAGTCTGGCTTCTTTCCTGTTGGTTACAGCTTCAACAAATGATCTTTGTACTTCCTTTCAAAAAATGGAACAATAACAAATTTAAGCTCAACAATACCTCTGTGCTTATTTTACCAGTCATTTGATATCTTTTCTAGTCTACACTAGTTTTCTAAACTAATAGTATGTGCACAATAATCACTTATAATTAGAATCTAAGTAAGGGAAAATGGCAAGAGCACATTTTCTTTTTCTTTTCCTTATCCAAAGAAGAAATGTTCCTTTATGTTTTCTTTTTTTTTTAAATGCTCTTCAAAATGTTTCAGTCTCTTGGTGATGAAATACATAGTACACATGCAGCATTATGAAATAATATATATCTTTATGAAGTAAATCTGCAGTCATTAAAAAGGCACTTAATTTGACACTGTAGAATTCTCTCAACAATCTTTAGAGATTCAGTGTGTTTAATGGGAACTGCAATTAGTTCCCTTGGCAAAATATAACAAAATTCTTGTTTTCACAAAACAAGTTTAACCAACTCTTGGTTCAAATACATCCTTAATGTATTATAAAACATCTCCCAGATAATAACTTCAGACTTTGCTTTCCCATTTGCAGTACCATGCCAAGCAATTTCTTTTAGCAGACATAAATAAAAAAAAACTTATTCAGAAAAAAAAATTGTAGACACATTAACTTAAAATTATTTTCTCTAACACTGATCTTTACAGAATAGTTCAGACCAATAAGCTTGTGTGTGTCTGTGTCTAATTTGGACTACTCACTCACTTTGGACTAAAGCACAATGTTACCAAAGATTTCTCATAAGGTAGCAAGGTTCCTTGATTGGGAATGCACAGGATCAAGGTGGAAACATCTACATCTTTTATTATATTTTTGAAACTTAAGTCTTGTAAAGCAGCATCTGCAGTCCTCTGAAGGTCTGTTCCCTAGAAAATAATCAACAGTTCAGCCTGTTCTGCTTCCCCTTTTGTGTTTGGTTGGGTTTTGGTTTTCCAACATTTTCATACCTTCCACAACAAGCAGAAAGACATAACATAAGTAATAGCACAGACATAGTTACATAACACAAGGCTAATTAACCATTTTTTAAACATCAATTTCATGTCAACATTTTGAATTCTCTTTTTTAAAGATGATCCTCACTCAGATGATTTCACTGTCTGAGAAAAACAAGTGAAACCACAGATGCTTAACATCTTAGAATATCAACATATATTTTGATAACTCCTAATTGATAAGAAAACTAGTAGGTCATGCAAAACACTTCAAAAAAAAAAAAAACAAAAACAAAAATCAAAATAGCCACACCCAGAGAACATAGTTAAAATTGTTAAGGTTAAGATGTCACATAGTGAAACAGAAATATATGAAAAAAGTAATTTCAAGGTTAAGTTATAGTAAAAAATGTGTTGGTTGGACAGAATTTTCAGAAAGCCTATTGATCAGAAAATAGCATGACACAGTAAACACTACTAGAAGATGAATGCTGAGAAAGAAAAAAATGGAAAAGCAGAAATGATAAAAAGTTTTTAACTAAAATAAAAAACACAATATTTTTTTACCATCTCTCCTCCAATGGCATTGTCTTCCAGTACTGCTACCCAGTCCATACACTCAGGACTTTCATTGTATAAAAATATTTCTTCAGTCTTTGAAGATCCAAAGTAAACTGGTCCAAAGTGAATGCATTCCAATACACTTCCACAGGATATTCCTAGGACTTTAAGAACTTGCTCAACTACAACAGCTTTGATCCATACTTCAGTGTGGCCGCGACCTTCCAACTCCACTCTGTCAGTAAGAGTAGCAAGCAGCAATAGGTAATGAAAAAGAAAAACAACATTGGTTTGTTTTGTATTAGAACTTATTAGAACTAATACCTAACAGGATGAATTGCACATTACGTGGCGGAGTTTTGAGGAGCTTTGTGAGTTTTTCCTCTTTTTTAGTGTTTGAAACAATAGGAATGACATATCAGAGATTTCCACAGATGATACACTGCTCTTATTTCTGAGAAACTTTGTATCTAGATATCAATTTTGGCATATACTTAGCAATTTTCTGTTAGGCAACTGGGGCTAGAAGTTCATCTGAATAACTGTAAAAGAACTGCTGCTGTCCCTATGTGAATACTTGATCTTGATGATGCCACAGAACAACAAAGAAAAGGCAAAATACCCAATAGTTCTGCAACCAAAACATTGAAGCTCAGTAACCAAAACCTTCGTAACAACCACACCCTATTCACTATTATAAGAAAACTGGACAGAAAAGGATTTTCCAGATTGGTATCAACTTCCAAATTGTAGCACTTTTTAGAAAGTCTATAGTCACCATTTGAAGAGAGAAAAGATAAGCTTTTAAAAATAGTCTAGTCTTAAAAGAATTAGTGCTTGCAAATACATTCCCCTCCATTTAAAATAAGATACACCAAAGGACATAATAATATTTCTGAGATCCTGAAACACACAAAGCCAAAAGAAAACTAGCAAAGTCACAGAAGCTAAAAAAAGCCAGGAACACAGGATGTGTAGAAAGGTGAAAGATACAAAAGCCCTAGGTTAGTTGTATACTGAGAGATGTCTAAACATCCTATATAATTATGACTTATGAGAGATCTTAAATAACACAGCCAGGTACACAATTTATGCATATCATCATCAAATTAATTTAATAAAAATAAATGTGGAAGAAGGCAACTGACATCTAGGAGCTTAATTTTTTTATATAAACATCCATAATAAAGACTAGAATTAATGTCAGACAAAAATTTAATTTATAGGGCTGGATTTCTTCAGTCATACACTCACTTTATCACTTCTTTGATGATTCTGGGTACATCTGTGCATATATCCACTTTAACTGTCTTCGTAGACTTTGGCTTTACTGCTCCACTGGTAGGTTCTACGTTAAGCAGGACAACTCCATCATATGATATTTTAAATGTACCTAAAAGAAACAGAATAATAAACAGAATGTTACGCAACATAAAGTTGTAGATTCAGATTCTTGTATTACACATTTGGATTTACAAAACACATAATGCAAATATGTTTTCCTATGGAAACTGGAAACATGGAGTTTATCTTTTCCAAAACTATTTCCAACACAGAGTCGATCATTATTTCCAGGGTTTCTTTAAATATTACACCCACACGTCCAATGCTGCTTTACAAGTTGTGATTGTGACAGAAAAGGTACTCACATTCCAACAAAAGTGACTATATCATAAAGCAGCTGTAAGTAACATTTTGTAATTCACAGAATATTTTATATACGGCTCTATGCAGTTACTGTAGTTAGAAAGTTAAGCCCATAGTGGAAGTAACAATAGTTTTCAGTATTTGGTATGTACACAACACAGTCCATAGCAGAACAGAACAGTGAACATTTCTATGATATAAAGAAATATTTTTAAATGTGAAAAAGGTTATTAAATGTGTATTTAACCAGCAGCACTAATTATCTCTCATTATATCATAGATAGCAAGAAATTGTTTCCAATATTGTAGGAAGAATGCAGGATTTGACTTTAGACAACAATCTCCAACATCGGATCAGAAGCAGGAGCAATGGACTTGTTTTGTGCACAGGATGACACGTGAAACGCAATCCTGGGGTCACAGGTCAGGACACAGCACTTCCTACTCATACAGTTTACACTGTTAGTGTAACCTGCTGTATTCAGATTTACAGAGCCTACAGAAACACAGATTCAGCAGCTATTCCTTTCCCTGCCCTCTATACACTCTTCGCTAACTGCCCCTTTCATTCTAATTTTGCCTGTGTCCAGGCCTGCAAAAATCCACCAGGCAGCCTGCAACGCGGCATGCAACGGAGTCTATAACTAGAAAGAGTTCCTATACAACATGAGAAATTTCACACCATGCAAATTAGTTGCAGATGTATATGTAGTTTAAGTTACCTCATTTCCTTTATCCAAACATCATTCTTCAAAGAAATAAGTTAGTATGTATGAGCAAGAGCCGATTATATAAGCTCCATACTACATCTTTGTGTTGAGCTGGCTAGAAAGTCCCCAATTTTTCCTTTGCTTTTTGGAAAAAAGTAAAAAAATAAAAGAAAATTCTGTTCTAACTAGACAGCCATTTGATTTATTTCTTTTTTTTTTTTAATATTGCAACCCATCTCTGTGTTTCTGTAATCACATATTTTCTGTTGGTACAATATTGCTTGTGGATATCTGTGAAGAAAACATTCACACAACCTTGGCCTAATGCAAATAACTCACATATTTTCTGTTGGTACAATATCTGTGGATATCTGTGAAGAAAGCATTCACACAACCTTGGCCTAATGCAAATAAAGATATCTTATGATATAATAAACAGCTGTAAAAGTGAGGAATAAAAATAATTAACTGCCTTGAATTTGTTGTTTGAAACTCATCATAGTTGCCACCTTACTACTAGAGAAAGGTGTCTGCAGCTTTGTCCAGTGGAAAAGAGAGTCAAATAGAATCTTTAGCTACAATACTCATATTCTGCATAACCCAGCACTTCAGTTAATTTCTACTTGGCCACTGAAGCGTTAACTTGCATAAAATTACATTTTCCAAGAAAACAAAATATTTGTATAATTTAATGCATACTAAATATTTACCTGAAGATGATCCATGGTTAGTAATACTAATCTCTTTACTAATTATTTTACTGTTTGCAATCACTGCACCAAAATTAATCTCTGACTGAATTTCCAGATAACAGCACGGAGTTAATCTGCGGAGAAAAGACATGGTTATGTTTTCCCCAAAACTTGAAAATCCCTATGCATTTTTAAAGTAATTTGATTACTTTGATTAATTTGATTACAGTGGAAGAGAGTTCTCTTTTTCTCCCACCAATGTTTATGCAACTCACTTCAGCAGTATGTGACACACAGGGAAGATGTAAAAAAGATACAGCTATCTATCAAGCTGTTCACTTGAATGACAAACTACTGTAACTTTAAAACAATACACCTTTAAACAATTAGTCAAAATGGAATGTGCACATTCCTATTTATTTTAAATACTTGAGTATAGGACAAAGAACTTTAAATAAAACTATCTTGAGTTAGTTGCATCACAAAATAAGACCAAAGTTAACATTCACCGTATTTCATTATCAGCTTCCTGAACTAAAAGCAGAGCAAAACCACACATACCAGTTTCAATTTACAGTCTTTTGTTTTACAGATACTTTATGTGGATTCAACAAACCTTATTGCAACAGACAGAAGTGGAAATAATAGTTATTTCTATTACATATTTAAGAGCCTCAACCAGCATGATGACATCACTGTGTTGGGTACTGTTTACACACTTGCTTCAGGAAACTTGTATTTTAAAGGCCCTGATTTCTAGTACAATCACACCTCTGATCTCACACAAAACTGTGTTTGAAATGAATTAGAATTTTACATCAGCACAGCAGTCTATCTCCTCTTAACCACAAATAGGAACATACAGAAACAATTACAACTCATGATCTCCATTACATGCACTACAGAAGACTAAATGGGGAAGATAAATCTCCTTGGCTGAGCTAAGTAGGCCCTGCACATACAATCTATTGCATAAGGGAGGGGGGAAGGAGGAGGGAAAGGAAGGGAGAGAGGAAAAAAAAAATTAATCAGGAAATGCAACACTAGAAGTCATTCTTGGAAATGTTAAAACACTGGGTTTCATTTTCTTTAATAATTTATTGTAATGCAAAAATAAAGGGAGCAAATTCTTGAATTTTATTTTTTAAAAAGGAAAAAATTAGCAAGATTAGAGTACACTTGAAGAGACTATAAAATCTTCACATATTCTACATATTCAAACATTCTTCCAATAAGCTTGGTTAGAAAAATGAAACACAAATATCTCTTCTCTCAAGATCCAAATATATAACTTCCCAAGTAGACAGGAATAAGCATAAATTCTAAATGCAATGAGATTTTCTAGCAGATTCAGACCTGTGCAAAAAGGGAGATAGTCAAGTTACAGAATGGGGTTTGATTGGTTAGTTTGGTTGGGGTTTTTATGAAGATGGAATTTGCCCCTGGAAAGGCCTAATTTCAAATGTTTTCTTAATATTTTTTTTAAAACAAAAAAATTAATTCTTAATTATTATATTTCAAAAAGAGTTAGGATGCAGTTAATCTCAAAACAGTTTCAGTTAATCCTAAAAATACCCCACACTAAAATAAAAATAAAACCCAAACTACTGCAAGTATCTTGTTTGAAACACATCCCAAAACTTTGAGAATAAGTATTATCTCTGGCAATCAAATATTTACAAAATTGAGTCATTACCAGCACATCATAAGTCCATGGTGCTGTAGAAATTAAGCAAAGAATGTTGTTTGGTCTCCAAAACTTGTATCAAATACATGAGCCACAAACCAATATGATTAACACTGGATCTAGTCTCACGAGCCAGGCAAATGCTATTTCACTTGCAAACCAAAGCACTGTTGTATTAATGGCCCTAAAGCACAATACTGTCATATTCTTGGTGACATTTTTTACTAAAAATACAGTTACAAAAAAAGTGGTGTTACTACAGTTTAACGTTGTATGGGAAACTAATTTTTCCTACACTCTCAGTGAATCTAACCCCAGACTAAAGATTTTCTCAAAATGAACAGTAAATGCGATTGAAGGAATCACACAAATTGTTGGCAAAAAGGTTAAATCTTTTCTACGTCTTTTTCAGAAACCACCAGTGAACTTTTCTTTCAATAAAATTTTATGTACAAAACGTGTAGACCCATAATTTCCATAAATTCATAGTGAATTATATATATACCCTATAACTCATACAGAAATAAAAGCTGAAAAACAATATGATTTCAAAGAAAGAAGACTACAAATAAGCTAATAGGTAAAAGAGAAGTAGCAGACATTTAAAGAAACCAGTTCGAATAATATCAGCAACTTCCAAATGTTTCTTATACAATAACACATTGTCTCGGATTATATTTGTAAATTTTCTGAACCTGCTGTCACATGCTTTAAAACTTAATTCTGTTTTGCAGATACACAACTCTTCAAAGGTACTACCAGTACACAATCTGAGTGACATTCACCAGAGACAATGGAAATAAACACGATATTCGAGTGGCCAAAAATCAGAATCTGTCAGTGATTAAAATTTTGTTTGTGCATCACAAAAATATGTAGTAATTTGATGTAAATCTAAATATAACCTTAACAATTTTAAAAATAATTTATTTCAATTCTTGATGCTTTAGAAAAAGTAGCATAAGTGCTTACTACATTATTATTGATACATCAGTAGAAAATAAATGTTATTAAAAATGTTTTAAAGTTCACAAACTTTTAAATAGGAAGTGAAAAAAAAAAGCATTTAAATTAAATAAATTTGGGGGTGGGGTGTGTGTCTGTCCCCCAAGATAGAACATTGCACAAAATAAATTTGGGAAAAAACTGATTAAAAAAGAATTACAAAGTATATTCATTTTTTCCAAACAAAAAAAAATTATTATAGCCTGTCATTTTTTTCCTTGCAAAAGCCTGTTAAACATGAAGATTTTAAATACTTCACAGTCTACTGCAAGTTTCATTCCAGAAAAAAAGTCACTGGTCTTATCTCCACAATGCTACCCTAATAAAAATTTTCAAAAAAATAAATATAAACAATTTAAAAATTAAATATAAAAAGCCACAGTAAAAATAGATAATTAAAAAAATAAAAACTTAAAAAATATATATAAAAAAAAGTGTTCCCTAATAACTTTTTTCTTCTAGGAAAATGAAGATATTTAGAGAGAGTTATTTTTAATAGTAAAATGATCATATTGATTTACTATGTTCTGTACTGCCTTCTGGAAAGTCATCCCTGTCTTTCAGTCAAAGAAAAGTATTTAGGGCTTTCCATTTAAATTTCTCTAAATTTATTCAAGAAATTTATCACTGTTTAATACTGTGTTCTAAGACAAGAGTTTAAAAACACCACAGAAAAAGCAACTAATTGAAATTCTTATTTCCAAATCTTCCGATGGTAGAGAGTCTTTTGCTAAAAAGAGACACAATTTACCAAACATGAAAACCCTAAGTCAGACTTAACTATTTGTATCCTACATTAACAGCAGAACGTTAACATTTAAAAAGAAAAAAAAAAAAAAAAAAAAAAAAAAAAATAAAAAAAATCCCAAAAAAAAATTTAAAAGCCTTGCACCATAAGCCTCACCCCTCTTTCCAGGTTTTTGTGTGCCCCCTCCTTCCTCTCTTCCGCACTGCCTTATCTTGGACTCAGAGTCACACATCATCCCCCTGTGACAGACTTTACCAAACAGTGTGTGGGAGGTGTCTTCAAAAAAAAAAAAAAAAAAAAAAAAAAAAAAAAAAAAATTAATAAAATCCCACAACAAAATATTAAATGAGGAAAAGCAAATCAGTGAAAAAGATCATGAGATAAGAAGTAAATAAAATGTAGGAGTAAGCTTCTCTGAAGGCAAAACCTTACACATTTCCCGCTAACGTGGGACACTTGTGGGATTGCTTGATTTTTAAAAACAAGTCATATCCTGGATAATCTCCATGGAAATTCCTTTCTGTCTGTACAGGTTATTTTTAATGTTAAGGTTTTCAAAAAACTATGATTTGAAATAGTTTATGAGATTCATCAGTCCTAATTTAAACATCTGAAATCTGAACCTGTAAACAGAAGTTTGCTGTTCTGATTTCTCTTTTCAGACAAAGGAGAGAAAGGTAGATAAGAGCAATTCCCCCTCATTCACAGGTAACCACGTAGCCTAACTTTGAGAAACTGTATTTAGAAGCTTACGTTTACCAACCAATACCTATGTTATATACAATGTATAACATATATCCATAAACACACATATAAATAGGCACACACAATCACACAGATTGATGAAAATGATCCTTGAAAGTGTGAGCTTATTCTAAAACAAGCCATATTTTGAGAATTGGGCGATGTATGTTTCACTATAATCCAGTTTTGCGATTACTATAAAATCTTTTATACAAGTAGTTCAGTAAGGAGGGAAGACATTAAGAGTAGATGTTAACTTGTCTAATGTTGATACAGAATTAGAAATTATCAACATTATCACAACCAACACAGAATAAAGCAAAAACAAAACCCCACAATCTCTCTGAGATCTTAGAGGGAGATCACCCCTATTAACTTCCTACCTGTGCGCTGCTCTGAAAAAAAAAAATAAAAAATCTTACCATTGTAAGGAAACTTACTATTTGTTTTCAATGCAATGGACAGATCAGCACTTATTAGCAAATTTTCCACAAGATTAAATGGCAAATAGTAACAGCAGCATATGAACTTTTTACTATCATACCCAAGCAGGGGGATATCAACTATGTCATCTTCTATTAAAAGAAGCAGTCTATCTTGGACATCTTTTGCACTCTCAGGATAATACTCCACAAAAGCTGTAACTTGAAGTCCAGACGCAACAGGCTTTTCTGGATTTTCCACAATCAATTTAAACTGCAATTTAAAAACACATAAATATTTTTATTTTTATTGTTAAACATTTCTATATTAAAAAAGCATATACATGTGATTCATTTTCAGAAGAATATGCAGATTGATTTAAAATTCAAAATCAACTTTAAAATATGCTTTTAAAACAAAAAATTGGATTTTATAAAATTTCTCCTCCTGTTTACTGAAATCCAGATTTTTTACAGTAAAACAGAAACAAGAATACTAACCCATCAGATTACATGGAATAGTTGGTTTAGCAAAATATCATTTCTAGTATTTCCAGGAGAGCTCTAGCTTTTCTTACTGTTACAATAAACCTTCTGAAGCAACATAAAATTAAGTCCGATACTAGTCAATCCAGAATCTTTTTAGTGCCTGAAAAAGTAACAAGGATTAAGTCTCAGTCCAAAGCAGCATCAAAAGGAGACAGCATAAGACTTTTCTTTAGGCCTGACCAAATTCAGCTGTGGTCAACAGATAGTCTCACTGTACATTGAAAATCTGCCCCCCATGGAGGGCCCATGGCACCTCCAATTTTGCAGGTCAAATGAAAGGGAAAAAACCAGAAGCAGCTGACTGAAAGTACCCTTTTCCTCTCCGAAAGAAAAAAAAACAATTGCAGATTTTTTGTTGTCTGTAAGCATCTGCCTATATCCAACACTGACTGCACAATTTTTCTTGAACTTTTCATGAGTAACCTACTAAAACATCATGGAATTCCAGCTGTTCCCACATTCCTAGGAAAGCCTCACACCAAGGTCTAGAGCTTCTCTGGTGTTTGAGGCTCCTTACAGTTCACATCATTCTATGAACAATAGCCTTCTGCTTTATAGGTCCAGATCAATTAATGTTTATTTCTGAGAGTCCTCTCAGTATTCTTTAACTTTTCTGTTCTAATTTATGTTTGAAATATGCAAACATATAATTTACTGCTTGATGATTCTGTTGTCTGAGCATCTCTTTCTATTCCTTTAAATTATTTCTAGCAGTACAAACACTCAGCTAAAGAACATGTTATGTAATATGCATCATGATTATGGGCTTGATTTTGAAAGAACAGTCATGTTTTCATTTTGAAGTGTGTAAAATTTTTCTCTTCTCTAAAGAGAGTTAAACAGCCATGCATATTCATTCTATTCTAGGGAAAACAGATGTAGTGTGAAACCTATGGAAAACTGCTTTGTGAGCTACATTCCTTGAAAGATATTTCTTGGCCATGCACTATAACCGCTCAGGGAAGGTTATTTTTCAGTTCTTGCACTCTATGAACGCAATGCCTCAGAAAATTTTCTGATGAGTCGTACACTTCAGAGCCATGTAATCACAGACAGCAGTGTAAGGTCAGGGAATGAGAAAGGGCACCACAACAGACCTTTCTGGAACTGAGAAGGTGAAGTGGAATCTTGTCCCCTAACTGTCATATTATTCATCTCAAGCACAAGAGCATTAAAATACTCAGTATTGAGTGGGATTGAGTGCACCCTCAGCAAGTTCTCTGATGACACCAAGCTGTGAAGAACAGTCAACACAATGGAGGGAAGGGATGCCATCCAGAGGGACCTGGACAGGCTTGGAAACCTCATGAAGTTCAACAAGGACAAGCACAAGGTCCTGCATGTGGCTTGGGACAATCCCAAGCACAAATACGGGCTGGGCAGGTAGTGGATTGAGAACAGTCTTGAGGAGAAAGACCTGGTGGTGTTGGTGGATGAGAAGCTCAACATGAGCCAGCAATGTGCACTCACAGCCCACAAAGCCAACCACGTTCTAGGCTACATTAAAAAAGTGTGGCCATCAGCTCAAGGGAGGTGATTCTGCCCCTCTACTCCATTCTCGTGAGACCCCACCTGGAGTACCTGGAGCCCCCAACATAAGAAGGACATGGAGCTGCTAGACCAAGGCCCGAGGAGTGCCACAAAGATGATCAGCGGGCTGGAGCACCTCTCCTATGAAGACAGTCTGAGAGAGCTGGGGTTGTTCAGCCTGGAGAAGAGAAGGCTCCAGGCAGACCTTATAGCAGCCTTTCAGTGTCTGAAGGGAGCCTACGGGAGAGCCGGAGAGGGACTCTTTGTCAGGAAGTGTAGTGACAGGACAAGGGGTAATGGTTTTAACTGAAAGAGGGGAGATTTAGATTAGATATTGGGAAGAAATTATTTACTGTGAGGGAAGTGAGACACTGGAACAAGTTCCCCAGGGAAGGGGTGGATGGTCCATCCCTGGAAGTGTTCAAGGTCAGGTTGGATGCAGCTTTGAGCAACTTGGTCTAGAGGGAGGTGTCCCTGCCCAGGTCAAGAGGGGTTGAAACCAGCTGATCTTTAAGGTCCCTTCCAACTCTAACTATTCTGTGATTCTATAAAAGGCATGAGATATTTAAAGAGGTAAAGCTCATAAATGCTGATTGAGTAACCTTAGCTCTTTTCTAAAGCTGACTCTGCCTTTCCACTTCTGGAGCACACGAAAAATTTCTCAGGCTGATGAAAACTAACAAAAAAGAATAAGCCCAACCCAACAGTTTCCAGCTCGTTGCAAAATTCTTCAGTTATAATGTAATAAAAATCAAGCTGTCTACAGCATGCAAATTAGCTAATTTGGAGGGGGGGAGAGGGCAGGTTTAAAAATGCCTACATGGTCTTGGCCGCTCTTACTTTCAAAAAGGCTGACTACTCAGTGAAATTATCCAAGGTACTTCAACTGTCTGACAATCATTTTCATGACTACCCTAGAATATACTTATTCAGACTTCAAGTAGCTGTGGACAAAAAGCAACATCAGCTTCTGTTGAACCCGCACTAGCAGTTCAACCCTTTGATCCCAATTTGGACTTAATTAACAGATAATTAACTTGCTAGATGGAAGACCAATATAAAACTACTAACCACAACTGGGGTTTGCTGGGCCCACATAGGTTACAAGTCAAGGGCTAAACTGGTTAAAATTGTAAAGATGCATTTGCCTTTAAAAAGTCTGGCTAGGAAATGATTTTTCCAGAACTAATCAGATGCTATTAATAGTAAACATACTATCTTGAGAAAAGATTGTAAATGCCTCTTTTCTGACAAAGCTCACCACAAGCATGCACCACAAATGAACTACTCCACTCAAAAATGTAGAAGGATACAATACAGAATTAATGTAATAGAGCTATCAATCAGCCCTACGGAAATTCAAGAAAAAACTTCAAAACTTGTGCCCTTCAGCTGATCTAGATCACTTCACAAATCTGTTGTTCACAACATACCAAAGTGATACATTTCTACATAATGCTCCCTGAAATAATGAGGAATTTACAGTCTTCTTCAGGGATAAAATTTCTAGAGAGTGCAAAGCCAGCCAGCAAAGCTAAGCAGGATTTGTTACCAACAAGGAAATTGATGCAGTAAGACATACAAGAAAGCTGGTTTGTTCCTACGTGAAACTGTGGGTTTAACAAACAGTGAAGCTCTTTCAAATTGCACATGACCCCAGGATAATGTAGAACCGGGAAGAATGGAGTTCATTTCATTCTGACTTAAAAGCCCCAGAAGAGCAGCCTCATTTGAAGTTCTGTATGAGAATATGTTTGAAGTATCATAGAAATGAAACCTACATGCTCTCACAAGAAAACAATAAACCAGGACTGGCTCCCTCCTTTAGAACTGTCACATGAGAAGCAATTCAGACAACTCTGGCTCTCAGAATTGCCACTTATTCTTTCCAGTTTATCCAGTAATTCAACTATGTTAAATCAATTTCCAATTCACTAGCAAAGTCCAGTGAATCTCACAGGCTGTTAAGGCACCCACGTCAGTGTTTCCCATTTGCAGTAGCTGAAGGCAGACAAGCACTTACACCTGCCCAAGCAGCCTCTTCCACAGGACCCACCAAGCCGGGCAAACCTGTGGGCAGACGTCCCACCTGCAAAACTGCCGAAAATAAAAGCAGAGCCTCGAGATGCAACGCTCTGCACCTCACGGGAGGGCCTGGCAAGCCCCAGGTGAGCGGGCTGTGTACCCATTCCTCAGGGAAAGTGCAGGAGGGGAGGATACGGACTTGCGGGACTCGGGGCAGGGTGGTCTCATGAGGCACAACCGTTATTCCCCCACGCTGGAGTTGTTCCATGTGCGCTACCCGCGGAGCATAACGCTCCCCACCGCTTCCCTCCCGGCCACCCCTCACCTGGGGCAGGCGCGGCGGCAGCAGCTGTAGGCGACAGCTCCCCACCCGCCGGTTCTGGACGCTGAGCGAGGCGCGGTAGCAGCGCCCCGGCACCGCGTCCCTGAAGCGGAGTTCGGCCGGGGCGATGCGCACCCCGGCCACCTCCCGCCACCCACCCTCCATGACGGCCGCCACGGCCGCCTTACCCGGGCGGCGTGGAAACGGTCGCTTAGCAACGGACGCAGGGCGCTGATTGGAAGCAAAAGAGCGGCGTTTCCAAACCCACCAATCGGAAGAGGAGAAAGCGGGGAGAGGCGGGGCCAGAGGCTCGGCCCGGCCCGGCGCAGGCAGCAGAGCCGGCGGGGTCTGGGAGTCCTCGGCCCGAGGTGTCGTTACCCAAAGGAGAGGGTTTTTTCCCCGAAGCCGTGGTGTTTCCTCAGGTGCGCAGCCCGGAGCCTACCCTGCCGCACCCGCACACACCGCCGCCTCGGCGGGTGCGGGGGGCCCCGGTAGGCAGGGCCATGGGGGCAGGCGGAGGGCTGCCACCTCATGGGCACCAGGTGGGGCAGGAGCTGGAAAAAAATAAAAATAAAAAAAACATTCCTTTGACCTGTCCTTATCACTAAGGAGATACCTGATCCTGTGTCCCGCCACGGGGTTGGGGCCTGTCCAGCAGAGTTCCTTTTGTTCACCTGAGGTGTTTTCCTGCTATTTCCACCAGCGATGGCCCGGGATGGTGCAGAGGGATACAAATGAGGATGCTCTTCCTCATTTGTAGGGTTAAGAAACCCCTGGGTTTTGTAAATGTGAGAAACACCGGCTCACACTTAGAATTTAAAAAGGACAAAATCGCCGAAGCAAAGGTATAAAAAATGTATTATACGAAACAGCGCTGAATCGGGTGCATCTCAAAGCAGAGGCACACTCCCTTTTGGTTTCTTAGGTATCTTTATCCTTCTTATCCCGGCCGCCTGAGCCACTGTCTCCCTTCTCATTGGCTGAGAAGTTGGAGCTCACATTCTTCCCGACCGCTTACTAAGCACATACATCTGTTCTACAAAATTATCATTCTAAACACCCCTATTCTAGTTGATTATGCTACTTGTTGCTTTGCAATCTTTGCCATCACCTACTGCCCAGTGTTAATGATTACAAGTACCCTGGTAGTCATATCTCCATCAGTGACCCTCCAGGTGGCCTTTGTCTGCTTTATCAGTTTGCGCCATTGGTCTTTAGTCAGTCTTCACAGTCCTTTGTCCACTTACCAGTCTGCCATCGGCCTGGCTCTCTTCACCTAGATGACTTCCCGTAGGCCAGGACCCCTGGACAGCCCCAGGGCGCTTCTAAGGGTTAGTTCGGTACAATGGGTGAGGCTCCACCATCACCGGGCCTCCTCCCGTCAATACAGACATACTAACAAAAATATATCAATTAGCTGAAGCAAAACTCAGCCCATTTCTCACAGTAAAGATGGATTAAACTGAAATAAAAATAACCTGACTTCCGAGCATGTGTGTTACTCACAGACGTGGTCTACATAGAACCAAAGCAGAGCACCAACACATCTGTTTGTTGGTGGGAAGCTCAGCATCTGCAGCACCTGGGGGTAATACCTCATTGTGTGCCTTTATTGAGTGGTGAAAGTTGTGTTCCTCTTCTGTATCCCGATACCTTCCTATGCTGCAATTTAAGTGGTATAATAAAGTTGACAAGAATCCAGCACTTAGGCAGACTTGGAGGTAGATAATGGGCCGCGCTGTGCTTCGCTTCAATGTAGCAGAAGCAAGGAGAGGGGAGCAGCAGGCACACAGAACCTCAGACTTCAGTTTTGATTAACCCAAAATATGTTGCCTTGGATTACTTCATCCCCTGAAAGTGCGTGAGGACTTACATTATTTATATTTTAGAAGCCAAGCGTGAGAAGCTGCAAACACGGATGGCATAGATCAGAAGAACTACAAAGTACGAAAAGGGCAAAAAGTATATTTTTAATGGGTCGAGAAACCTAGAGGGAGCAAAGAGAGAGGAGAGCCTTTGTTTCTGTTGCTGGGGGAGGATACTAACAGGTCTTTTTGTCCCTCTTAAAAATTCAAGTGCTAGCCAGCTATCTGCAGATTACTGAAGAATGAGTGGGAATTCGTCATTGCAAACACTAAGAGTAAAACCCAGTCATCTGAAGGGAGTTTTTTGGGAAGATTACTTGAATATGCTTTACAGTAACATGATTGTACTTAAATGACACACATACAAAAAAAGAAGAAAAAATTAGAAGATTGCCTTATCAAAGAATTAAACTCCCTCTGCTTTTTCACTAGAGAATGACAATCACTGCTACATGGTTTCTCTGATCCTTATACAAATTATTGAGGAAATTCCAGGGACAAAACATCAGACCTAAGAAATACCTGATTCAAAGAAAGAAAAAACTTTGAGACATTATACAGACATCATGATGGTGCTAAAAAGTAACAAGCTCATTAGTTTATCTTAGTTTGGGTTATTCCTCAGCTGTCACATTAAAGTAACAAGGAAATGTTCTGTCTTTCTGATCACACATTCTGGTACCTGGAAACAATCAAATCCAAAAGCAAACAAATAACTAGTTGTTAAGGTTTGGGCCAAGTGGGCCAATGATAAGATGGCAGATGCTCTCCCCCACCTCTTGCTCCAAGGAGAGGAAGAATAGAGATAAAGATTATTTGTATGAGTTTAGAAAATGCTAAACTACTTTAATGAAATATTATCAATACAATAAAAAGGTAATAATGAAATAGATACAACACATGTGAATAAATACAAAACTGTATCAAGCTCCAAGGGAGATGTCACCAGCAGGCATTGGGGAAGTTCCAGACTGGACTCAGCTATAGACATGAACCGGATTCTGACTCTAGTTCCAGGAACCCACAGAGCAAGATCAAAGGCAGATGAACTGAGAGGGTACTGCTCAGACAACAGTCACTGAAGAAATAGATCCACTAAAGAAACCAAACCATTGAAGAAGAGCCTGACCTCCTCAATCCTTCAGGTTTTATACTGAGCAGGCAGATGGGATGGAACACCCTATTGGTCAGTTTGGGTCAACTGACCTATCTGTTCCTCCCCACAGGTGCAGCCCCTCCGTGGGATAAACCACCAAACCAGCTGCCCCTCGTTGCCATAGCAACAAGTATAAGCAAGAGTACTGACCAGAAAGCTGGCTCTGTTTCACCCCAAACCAGGACACTAGTTCAGAGAAAATACTAAATATGTCACTTGTTACATACTGAGTCATAGCAAAGCAGTCAGTCACAACTTTTTTTTTTTTTTCCATCCCACTAAGAACTGTAGCAACATTTAATACTTTTAGCACAACTATTAGAAACTAAAAATTGCTTATGATTTTTCATGTCAGTTCAGACCTTGCTGTAGTACAAGAGGATCCTTGGAAGGTCCTTGCCCTCTCTACTCCTTCTGACCTTCCTGATGCTCTACATTCCCATCTAATTCCCAGTCAGGTCACTAGCCTTCATTCTACTAACTGAGCTCTGCATGGGGCTATATAATAACCCTGACACGTGAAACAATCCAGGATAAAAGCACTCATACATGCACCTCTTTTTTGATGTCACTGGAGGATGGTTTCTCAGCTTCAGTTTTGAGCATTAGTTCATGAACAGTTGAAGCAGCACTATTGACAGGATGGTAATTAACATTGTAAGTGGAGGCTAAAGAAAGCAGCCAAGACAGAACATTTAAAAATCAATTCTGTCATAAAAGAATTTGTAACAAAGAACACTGGCCTTACTTTCACTTGATTCAATGTAGGTATGTCCATACAAAATTATTATAAGTTTAACTAAACTTTTAAAACCCAAATTATCTGCGATCTAGCTTGTGTATAGAGGAGCCAAAGTCTGTGTTTAAAGACTCGATCCCTCTGAAGTAGCCTGGCTAGGCTCTCTTCCTCTTCTGCAAACCATTATATCCAAATGCTTACTATTGCCATCATTATGATATCTTATTATGAACCAACATTAGATAATGGACTCTGCTCCTTCCTTTCCTCAGCTTATGCTGGCTTTTTTTTTTTTTTATTAGTCACCTAATAATCATCCCCAAAGAGAAAACTATTATTGTAAAGGAACAGGCATATTTTGTTTTGATGACAGAATTCTTTATAACTAGGATATGGATTATGTATATTCTTTCTCCTTTATCACTAAATCATATGACCACATTAAGTGTGATTTTACTTCTGCAGAAATTCATGCAATTTTACAGTGCAGTAACCTGCCCGATTCACATTGCATTCACCTTAGCAGTATCAGATGATGAATAATAAAGCTTCATAGCAAACTTTTCAAAATTGTATTATAGTAATCAGAGTGAAGAGTATAACCTTATATAAAACTCCACCATACCTCAGTTTCCGAGTCACTTCCAGCTATCATAAGCCAGACCTGACACTTATGTGACTATCCACTGATCCAACTATCTTCCTAGGTTCCAGGCAGAAACCTGGAATATCATGGTTAGTTCTTTCCAGTTAATAGATGAAGTTACTTTTTTTAATATTAAGTATCCCCCAGCTTGTTGGGGCCATGGCCAGGTAAAACAAGATGCAGAATCAGAAAACCATCACCAGTTTGTTTTTCCCTGCTGCATTAAAAAATAGAGAGAGCTGAGATGCTGGTCCTATCTGCCCATTTTCTGAACACAGGTCAAAGAAGCTCATGCACCGACTGAGTCAGAATTAACTCTCACTCAGGCAGGAATCTCTAAAAACACAGACAAATCCCTTCAGAAAGTATTCGATATGTGAGAAAAAGGGGCAGTTAAAATGATCATACGGGTGATTTATTTGACAGTAATTCAGCAACAAAAAATAACAGTGATACCTGAGATAATGAAGCTAATTTGAACAAGCTGCTGCTCATACTGCACTTTGTTGCTGAAATCTCAATCCAGAGGAACTGTGATTTGAACTGTGAATGCTGACCTATTTATTCTACTTCAGGAGGAGTAAATATACTTAGAATATACTAGAAGGAAATAGGGCCACTTACTGGTAAAATATTTAAGTGTGTATATTTTTATATTAGCTTTTAGGAGCCAGAAACAGGCAAAGTCCAAATAATGATGACTAATAAGATATATTCCTTTGCATTTAATCTTGCAAATTGCTGCTTAATGGAAAACAAAAATGTTCGAAATGACAGATTTGGACTCTAATTCCCTCTAAAGGTCTCTTCACTAAACAAATCATTCTGTGAGAAGCAGAACTAATGAAGATTTTATTGGGTCTTTTTGCTCAATGAAACCATCAGTCTTCACAAAACGTGTAAGAAATGCCAGTCTCTGAGACCTCGTTCCTTCTCAGATGGGGTTGAAAGAAGCAGACCAAAATTAGTGAAAAAATGAGGGGACAGAGAGATTGTCAGTTAGACAAGGCAATCATAAATGCCTTTCCTGTTTTTTTTCTTTTTAGAGACTGCAGAAATTGGTAAATATATGTTGGGTTCGTGTGGCAAGGTTTTGGTAGCAGGGCTGGGCTGCAGGGGTGGCTTTT